AGTTATCAGTTCTCAAGAAAACTTGACAGTTGACAGACAATTACCAACTGAAGTTTTCGCTTTCAGGTTTTGGTGTGCGCGCGCATCGTAACAACTTCATGGTGTCGTGTTTAGCTGTCGGTGTTTCACTCTCATCAATTTTTTAAAGAAGTATAACTTCAATAAATGGGAATGGCGCATCTTGATTTCATTCATTTAATAGTTTTCCATTAACGCTAACGTTGCAGAAAGGCATCTTGGCTAACCCCGCATAACGCCGACGAGTAGCACCGTCAAACGTGCGAAACGCCTACTGCAGTTGTCAATGCGCCTACCAAGATCGACAACTTAGATCTTCTATATAATTTTATTTTAAAAGGGCATTTCTAGTTTATCTATAAATTCTCGTGAGTCCAGATTAAACGCAGAAGCAACGGGCACAAACGCCAACAGTCAAGTGGCGTCAAGTGGTAGGACGTGACTATCGGCTCGACAGCAATGTAATCCGAATCGAGAACGAAATGGAAAATAAAAATCGAGATTTACTTCAACGAGAAAATATAAATGCGGATTTTATTTCAAAACTACTAAGCAACGGTATACATAAATTCAAAAAAAATGTGGTCCCATAGATTGCACTTAAAGCGTCATTATAAATTTAGAATTCTTAAACATGACATACATCTCAAGTGTGGTTAACTAAAGTTATGATGTTCTCCCTCCGTGAAAATTCACTGCTGGCGACAACCACTCATCACCAGTAGCATACCACACATCATACACCTCGCAAGTCGAAGAGTTATAAATTTTTGTTCAGAATTTAAATAGGCTTCCTAAAATTGCCTTCCATCATCTCTTTGAACGGTCAATTTGATTGTGTTATTGCAGCCCAAACAAAAGCCTCTTGCGGTGTTGACAGATATACCATTGCACGTACCATTGGTCGCATTATCAGATGTATTGCACCTTTGACGCTGCTCCGTTTCCGGTCTGAGTATTTTACATCTGGCGTTAATCGGATAATTAAACTGCCCATTTATCAGAAACCATAAGATCTTTCTGGCTTTGCCCATAATCGTCTTTTTTATATACTACTAAGCCAGGACTTATCTACGATTCCACCTGATGGTAAGTGGTGATGTAGCCTAAGGTGGTGAAGTGCACTGACTTAACAAAAGCCTTTTCACTCTTGCCTTGAAGATACCCACACTGTAATCGGATGGAAAGACAGATGCTGACAACTTATTCCACTCCTTTGCTGTACGCATGATGAACGACGTGGCAAACCGTTTGGTTCAAATGCGTGGTAAGTCAACAACGAAAGGGTGGAGACTGGCCTAACGTCTGGTTGTCTGATGGTGAAAGGGAGAGGGAGGAATTAAATTATGCAATTCCTGCGCACACTCTCCGAAATGTATCCTGTAGAAAACCGAAAGGCTGGCTACTTTGCGTCTGTGTTCGAGGCTGGTAAGATTGGTTTTAACCAAATTCAGGTCACCAATAAGCCTCTTAGCACGCCTTTCCATTGAGTCCAAAGCTGCTAGGTGGCATTTTGCAGCACCAGCCCATTGTCGTCTTCTCTTACGGTTCTCACGGAAAGGCGATGATTACTCCTCTTAAGCATAGCGTAAATTTTTTAATTGATATATTATTTCTTATTTATATACTCCCATCTTCTAAATCTTGCTTCCAGTCCCTTGATTACTTCGCGTGGATCTTCGGCAGTTAACAGCGGGCTTTTGACGGCTTCTCTAACCTTTCCCTGGATTGCTATTCTAAGGCGCGCCAGGTTCTGACTGTTACTGAAGAACGTACTTATACAGTATAGGTTGATACGAAACCAAACCAATACCAAATATTTTATTATTGTTGCAATTGTAATTTGTCTAAATTAAGTACATGCTTATAACAAAGTACATAGGTTGTAATGAAATTCTTTAGCAAGCAATATATCGCTACAGTTGGTTTCAATATAAATAGATGAAAAACCTCGGCAAGGATGCGTTGTAATTGGACGACTCTCAATCATCGAGAGAGCGCAGAATTATAAATCAATTCGTGTGAAAAGGTGTCGGCGGGTCCGCTAGACCCCTGGTACATTTGAATATTAAACGTCACTCAAATGGTTCCTAAAAGCTATGAATATAAAGCATTGGTTTGGTAGATGAACCGAAAGATTATAGGAAAAAAGTAATTTGTTTATCTATATAAGTAATTTGTTTATTTGTATGTATATGTGCGTTCTATAATCAATCTCAAATATAACATAATAATCTATGATAGGACTGTCAAACTGATGTTCCGATTTGCATTGGATACAATTGGATAGGATGTGAAGAAAATCAAACTTAAATATATGTTCAATAAAATTGTATGTTCTAGCTATTTTTTTTTTCATTTTTGGTAATGGACTCGTGCACGTGCAGTTGCACTTTTGCTAGTGTCTTTTTGTAGTATTAAGAAATTATCCTTTAAAACAATTTGCTTAAAACTTCTTCATAATATGTTGATGCGTCAAATTGTTAAGTTTTTGAAAGATTGTGACGGCAGCTTAAGCCCTGCTGGCTTAAGCTGCCGTATAACCATCGCAAGATGTCTAAGCAGACACATTATCTTGAGGTTCACATTTCCATCGATGCACTTGTTTTATCAATTCCATTAATAGTTCACATACGCAGATATATTACACAAAACAGCACGTATCAGAATCCATTTAAAACAATTTTCAAACAATATTGAGCGGTCAAGTTCCCGCCAAAATCCTGCTATTAATTTTATGATGCCTGACGCATTATGTTGTACCTATTATCCCTAAAATGAGTTAATAATCTTAAAATGGCTGCGTGTCGTGTAGTGCAAATTGATGTTTCCAGATTAAGATTTTCCGTGAACCTAATCATATTTGCAATCTACACGAATGTATTTTCCTTTAACCAGCTTAACTCACGTTACAATTAGCTTCACGTCTTAAAAATCCTCTAAATATGTTTATAACAATTATCTACATATTATATATATATATATATATAATATGTATATATATATATCTATATACTATATAAATATATAGATATATATATTATATATAAATAATATAATAATATATATATATATCTATATATAAATATATATATAGATATATATATATTATTATATTATTTATATATATATATATATATCTATCTATATATATATATATACATACATATTATATATATATATATATATATATAATATGTAGATAATTGTTATATATATATATATATATCTTTATATATAAAAATTAAGAGATAGGATACTTTTTATCCCCATAAGTGACCTTCAATATTTTTTTATTGCGAATTTAAGGATTTTTTATAGGAAGGGTCGTCGGAAAGGGCAAAACAACGTCTGCCTGGCCAGCTAGTATATATATATATATATATATATATATATATATATATGTATGTGTATAATATAGTGTCGTATAGTGTTTTTATAGTATGAATAGTATTAAATGTTTTTCGTATACACGATTCCTCAAATGAAATTAAATTTGCACTGAAATCCAACTTAACAAAAATCATCGAAAAAAGTTTGTACTCCATTACGCATTTTAAATTCACAACATTGAAATGCTTTTAAATCCATTAAACAATGGTTAGGTTCGTCAAGGGTCGAGCAGGAGCGCAAGGCGACTGAGAGCTTTGTCCCTACGAAACGTTTCCGTGTCCGGAACTCTATCATTAGTGTGCTCACCCGACGTGAAAGCGATTTTACCCCCGAAGACTGCGCCTTTTGAACCAGTGCAATATTGTCGAAAGCAGGAAAACTCCTTCAGAGAAAAAAAAATATTGCCTGATTCACGACGAAGAAAATGAGGACAGAACGCCGGAAACCAATCGAGCGTTCAAGTCTCAGCAGCCAATATGCTTCCGGGTTTACGTTATCGCTGACTTTGCTCGGGGAAGTACTTCGAAATCGAAACGAAAACACGAGGCGAACGATTTACAGACTCCCACCGCCCGCGGTTGTAAGCTCCGGCGCTTGAAACAACTTCGTTACAACTCCGCTCTGTTTTGTTTCAGGCCTGCAATATTAGTTTTAGCCAAAAAGCTATTTTTCATCCCAGCGTCGAAAGGCTTGTAAAGTTTTCTAATTTAGCAAGATTGTATTCAATGTTCTATGGAAGCCTCAGGCTTCAAACTGAAGTTCGTAAGTTTTGTTAAATCATCCATTTTGACGTCAAACCACTTTTAATTGGCCTTTTATCAACTTGTTTGTTATACACCCATTGTTAACAAAAATTGAATTAGTTAATCATGACATGAAAGTTCTATAAGTATATGGAACAAATTGTTTCGAGTTTTGAATTCTTTCCAGATTTTTCTGGTGGCATTTAATCGATTATTTTTGATGCATTTTGTAATGACATTTTTTATGGAGAGGAAGTCTAATACATTAATACCGACGAGTTTTAGCACTTAAACACATGCGACATAGTATGAAACTCGGTAATCAATTCAAAAAGTTCTATAACAATTATTTATTGATTTTAAAACAATTAACTTATATTACCTATACTATTTTTATTTTTTTATTGCAATCATGTTTATAGCAATGAATAAACGAATTAGTTAATTCAATTATTTGGTTTATTCATTGCTATAAAAATGATTGACGAATAGAAATAATGAATAAATGTTACGGATATAATACTCCGTAAGAACGCAGCAAATATTTGATTATATATATTTAGGAATGTTAAAAGAGAAAATTTCTATTTAAATCTGACAAATATGATAAATTTTTCACAATATCCATAAAAAAGTAGAACATAAAAAAGGTATTCCAAAAAAAATATTTTTTTCTGCTAGCCCGCTATATTAATTATGCCCACTTTTAAGCTACCACACCATGGCACAGAATAGGACAGTCTATTTCTTATCACAACACTTTTAATAGTCTAGCCTAATTTTATATACATTTATTTTCCACAGTCTTCTAGTTCATTAAGGTTTACTTTTCTTCTACAGGTGTTAATGTTTCCCGAAGAGGGTTGGGCGCGCAGTGCTTCCTCTTCTTACTGGACCCTGCAGCCGTGCTGGTGGCGTCGATCACGCTGCAAAGTCGTGGAAGTAGCGGGTACTAAAAGGTGAGAATCTTCAGCAATGACATGTCAGTAGTTACTAGAAAGAATCATCATCTTCGTCATCATAACAACCTATCATAGTCCACTGATCAACATAGGCCTGCGCCCTAGATAGCCTCATATGGAAGATAATTGCCATTGATGCCACGCCCGTCAGGCGGATTGGTATATTTATATTATTTAATTATTTTTATTTGTTACTAGCAGATACCCGGCGCGTTGCTGCCAAAAAAAAAATAATTGTGGCAATACCGTTTTATATTTGGAAGAGTAACATTGTTTAAGCGGGGAATTCACTAGACGGACATGCCCACGGGCTGTTTATCCGGACATGTCTGTCACCACAATACACTACACAGACTCATCAGTTTGTTTTAGACCGGCTGCTTGATTAGTTGTGCATGCCCATTAAGATGACAATGAAACGACGAAAAATGGCAATAGTAGCTAATGCTGCATTAATACTGTCCGGTGATAAGAAAAAGCAAAGAATTTGGTGCAAAGAATAGTTTTTTTTTTCTTTTATAGGATAGGGTGACAAACGAGCACACACTCCACCTGATGGTAAGTGGTTGCTGTGGCCCATAGACATCTACATTTATCCTCGATTACGGATCAAAATGCAGATGCGTTATCACCCGTGAGGACTAAGATGGAATGCCTTTTTTCCAGTAAAAAGGGTCTTCGGTTCTCTACACTCACCATACGAAACACAGCAGCGTTAAGCTGCTATTTTAAGCTGGTATTCTGTGAGAGCGTGGTCCTTCCCCGGTCGAGCCGACCCATTCGTGCTACAACTATACTACTAATATAGCTGCAGCACGGCTCTACCACGTATAAAAATAGAAATAAGTTTAGCCATATAAATTTACTTAAAGAAATAGAAATTGATAAACCAGGAGATCTGTACAATTACTTGCGCATGGATATAGTCGTTTGACTTTTTATTACAACTGATAGACTCTTTCTTCTCAGAATATTTTATTCTCTTCCCAGAATATTTTATTATCATTAAAACTCATTGCAAATTAAAAAAATTCCAAAGTTTGTTAAATAATAATAAAAGGAGTTTGCACTGGTTGCTGTCGCTCTTGTGTTTGTGAACAGAAGACAGCCCGCAGTTAACATTCACGTTCGAGCATGTCTGTGCCCGCGCAGACGAAATGAGATCGCGCGGACGGTCAACAGACAAATCTGACAGACCGACTGCGACGGTCCTACACTATCAAACTTTACACAGACCTGTAGTAGCGAAGTCCGGCAGGCATGTCTACAAACATGCCCGTGGTCATGTCCATCTAGTGAATTCCCCGCTTTAATTACGAATGATGATACATTCATCGAATTTGAGTAATATATAACTATGAAATACATTTTTCGGGAGGTACGTTTCGTACAGTAAGTTAACTGTACTATGCCTATAACCTTCGCGTAAGTGCAAGCAATAAATTGATAAAGTTTTAGCGCAATCTCATGAACGGTATGGCAGCGCATAAAATACGAACAAAGAATTATATTTTTTATATATTAGATTAGAATGATAAGATAATGGATTCTCCTACACCACCACTACACTGCGAATACAGTATATTTTTTTTTCAATTTCTGTATAAATTTATAGTTAAAAATTTTAATTTTTATATATAAAATTTTGTTTAATTTATAATAACTTACAATTCTTGTAAGCTAACCGTGGTAGCTCGTCGCCGTTAATTTCTCAGAACGCGAGCAACCCGGGTTCGAACCCCGCCGGCACTGATGAAAACGTCAATAGCAATTTTAATTACTGATTTACCGCGTCGTTTGTCGAGAAGGAAAACATCCTAAAGAAACCTACTTCTTGAGAAATAAAAACATTTTAAAGATTTGTAATGTCCGCAAATAAGCACTGAAGCAGCGCGGCGAACTTATTGTGCCATAACTCTCTCAGAAATGAAAGAAAGTCTGCACCCAGCAGTATATTTATTTATTAAAAACTTAAACTTTAAATCTAAGGTTTTTTTTATTCTACAATAATTTAATGGACATTTACCGCTTAGCGTATATCAGTCCCATCATACCCGAATTCGAACAGAACATTCGCATCGTCGCCATTTGGTTGGGATAGAATATTATGAAATGTGCCTACGTCAGTTCTGTCAGACTCAAATCGAACACATTCCATCAATATATGGTATAGGTCTTCTACAACTCCACAGTCTTCACAATTGGGCGAAGTTGTTTTTCTCATCAGAAATACAAATTTCTTAAATGAAACGTGTCCAGATCTGAGTCTATGAGTAAGGTTTTGTTAATCTAACATTGAGTGGACTTAATACCATGTGGTATTCTCTGCCAATCAACTATATAAATGTTTTGCTATTTTATTATATACATTGTAACGTTTAACTGTCAGACTATTAGTTTGCTATATTATCCTTTTCTAATCCACTGCTGGATATTAAACTTTTCAAGATGCGAGGATATCTTGAAGAATTTGCACATATTCGTCACGCTGGGCAGGCGCGTAGGCGAGCGCAAGGAATCTTATCACTCAAGTTTTAGGTAAACTCAGGACTTTACTTTCGCTCATTCTACGGTATATATAAATTGTAAATTGTCTATAAATGGACGTGATAAATTTGTAGACAATGAAAAACACTTGTTTCGTGCGGGATTCGAACTCGCAGATTCACAGCGCCGCAATCAAACACTTAAGCTCTGTTCCCCTAGGATTAAGAAGCCTCTATATGAATGCCGTAATAAAGCTGTGAATGGTGACACTATAATGTGGTCTATGTGAACAAGTTAGGATAGTTTCCTAGAATCCTAGAGAGAGATATTTGAGACCGTAATTTTTTTTATAGGATAGAGTGACAAACGAGCGCACAATCCACCTGATTGGTCCATAGACATCTACATTTAACATCAACAAAGAATCAAAATGCAGATGCGTTGTCACCCGTGGGGACTAATATGGAATGCCTCTTTTCCAGTAAAAAGGGTCTCCGGTTCTCTACACTCACATACAGCATTAAGCTGCTATTTTACGCTGGTATTCTGTGAGAGCGTGGTCCTTCCCCGGGTGAGCCGACTCATTCGTACTACAACTATACTACTAATATGGCTCCAGCATGGCTCTACCACGTTTGAATTGTAATTTCAAAAAGCGTTACTATCATTTGCATGACGGCCGTCTTGACGGTGCCGGCTATTTCACTAACGTTTTTTTTTTGATAGCGATGGCCGATAAATAAACAGAATGATATGCAACTTAGACGGCGCTGCTTCATTTGAAGGACGGCAACATTTTAAGTTTTGTGTGTAACCATGATGCTTTTTATAATATAAAAAGTAAGGGATACGATACGATTCTGATGTTTTATTTAAAAAAAATGGCAAATACATTTCAATCAACCGTAACATGTTCCCGTCACAATCACGCACCGGTGTAACGTGAGGGACCTAATTACATGATAACATCAAAGTATGCCAACGAACAGCAACACCTACCATGTCATTGTAACACAGGGCAGCCTCTCAGCAACACGACCATCCTTGCCTACACTAGTAGAATACCCCAATGGGCATAGTAACGACAGTGAGACTCGTAAAATTTTATACGTGGTAGTGCCATGCTGCAGCTATATTAGTAGTACAGTGTTAGCACGAATGGGTCGGCTCGACCGGGGAAGGACCACGCTCTCACAGAATACCAGCGTAAAACAGCAGCTTAACACTGCTGTGTTTCGTATGATGAGTGGGTAGAACCGGAGACCCTTTTTACTAGAAAAGAGGCATTCCATCTTAGTCCTGACGGGTGACAACGTATCTGCATTTTGATTCTTTTTGAGGACAGATGTAGATGGCTATGGGTCACAGCAACAACTTACCATCAGGTGGACTGTGTGCTCGCTTATCACCCTATCATATAAAAAAATAACCGACTGATGTCTATTAGTCGCTTGCGCTATACTTTATACGGCTAGAGCTAGAGTGGGAGATTACAGTTCTGCCCTCATTTCTTAGTACTTTTTTAATTTTTTTTTATTAAATACTAGAAATGCTTTTTAAACATTACTAATATTCTCTTTAGCCACTTCTGGTAAGCTTAAAATGCTTGTGTTAGAAGTGGTTCACAACAGTAGTCGAATGGCGGATTCGAACCCACGATCTTTCGATTTCGCCGTCCGCGCCCTGCCATTAGGCCACTAACGCTTAAAATATCTTAGTACTTTCTTTTATTTCTATTTTACCGTAGCAAAGAGTCAGCGTGTAGTCAACACCGTAATCTTAGGAAACCAGAGCTTTAGTCACTGCGCAACCGAACAGTCAGTATGAAAGAAAAATTTGGAATAATAAATTTATACCTTATAATCATTATTCCATAAATCTTTATATATTAAAAATTACGTGTCACATTGTTTGTCCGCGATGAACTCCTAAACTACTGAACTGATTTCAATGAAATTTTGCACACTGTGTGCAGTTTGGTCCAACTTGAGAGATAGGATAGTTTTTATCCCGATAAGTGACCCTCAATTTTTTTTATTGCTAATTTCAGGAGTTTTTTTTTTAGGAAAGCAAATGGTCGTTCGTAAAGGGCAGAACAACGTCTGCCTGGTCAGCTAGTATACAATAGAATAGAATAGAATAGAATAATTTTTTATTCAATATACATTACATGTGTAATTCTTATTGAAAGTCATTTTTTACTTTACCACTGGTTCGAAAAAAAACCCTCTGTCCTGGGAAGAACCAGCAAGAAACCCAGCGGGACATTTTTTTAAATAAATTTTACAATATAAATGATTACGAACTATTTACAAAATTTATTTTAGAAACTGCTTGGAAGTGACCACCTCATTCCCAGGGGTTATTATCAACCATGTATTCATTTATACTATAATAACCCTTTTTTATACAGTTTCAGTTTAATAAAACATTTAAACTTGGTAATAGAGAGAACCTGTACACTTTCCGAGACCTTGTTGTAATAGCTCTGTGGAGTCGAGAAACTGGTA